CCATTGGCAGAAATGTTTGACTTAATTTGAGTCAAATTTTTAGACTAACAAGACAAATAATCTTACACATTCTGAAAACAAGATTATTATTCTTACACGATCAGTTCTTGTTTAGTAAATCAGTCTCAAAACAAGATCAAAAATACTTTTTTGGCTGGATATAAGATTTTAAAACTTGGTAAGATGGACAGTTTTTGCAGTGTACTGCCAATCTCATTACCTACTTTCTCAGACCCTATGCAACTAGCCACCCCAGATTTATTGGCATGCATCGTGGATATTCTCACAGGGCTTATGCTGTACGTTCATCCCAGCTGCATTGCACTCCATCTTCATAAGTCCGCTTCACAGCCTAAGCACCCCTAAAGCCTCGTCTACCACATCTTCACWTGGCACTGTCAGCCGCTTTGAATGAGTGCCTCCCTCAATCTCTGATCACAAATCCCCACAAACCATAAGGCTTTCTGTTTCCTGTAGGGATTTTCAGCTGTTTCCTCAACTCACTGCCTTCTCTTGGCTCAGATACAAGACGCCCTGGCCAGAAATGCTTTACTCATACTCTTTTTCTCCCTCTGCGATGAAACTAATTGTATAACTTTCCCTTAGCCTCAGAACATGAAGTAATTTAAACCGGTGGCTGCCATGRGCTCCTGAAGGGTCTGCGTTACATCATCAGGTGTGCCATTCTTGGGTTAGAAATTTATTACGTGTCTGTCACAAGTGTTTTTAAAAATGTCGGCATGGCTGAATGTAAGTGAAGATGTCACCCAGACGGATTATTTATTTTGCATTTGCTTCTGTAATTTTCCGCCCCTTTGATGCTCTTCTTCATATTGTTTTCACTTATCAAATGAAAAAAAAAGAACAAAAGAAAGTCTGCCAACAAGCATCAATAAACTGAAGTATTGCAGTGGAGAATTGCATGTGAGTTTGGCTGGCTGCATTTTTTTTAAATAACAGTTTCCATTATTTGAAACTGCTGACATTCCTGAAAAGAAGCAGTTGCAAATGAGCACCAGACCTGCTGCAAAAAAAATAACAAAAGCCCGTCTAGAAGGAACTTGGCGGGGGAGAAGTCACCGTAGATCTTTTCGTTAATTCTGATGGAGACGCTTGCAGATCTCCGAAACAATGGTCAGAATGACATTTGGCCTCTCAAATCTACTGCAGAACAGGCAAACAGGGGTCAGCCTCTACAATATGACTGCCTTTTTCCACCATGTAAACTCAGCATGCAAGTATAACACAGTCAGAGGGGGCGTTGAGCCGCTGCAGTTGTGTAAGTCGTTTTTCTCCCAATTTTCTCCTCCACCAGGGAGCTGGAGGAGGTTGTTGGAAAACCCCCTCATTGGCAACATCRAGCTGCTGGGATGACTTTCCCCTCGACTGACTTTTCCCCCCAAACGGAGCGTTTCTACACCTCTGCTCGAGCCACATGGAATTCATTTATGCCGTCAGACAGCGAAACTCAGGCTGCGTGCGGCGACTGAACACATGTCGTTCTCTTGAGGGGAATCATCCCTCATTCAGGAATAGAAATGCAACATTGCAGGTGCAGCGCTTTCAGGGCCTGAATCAACAGGTGCGCACATGTTAGGACACAGGTTTCACATTATGGAGCAGCTTTTCATCTGTTTCCAAGTCACTGCACAGATTTCTTTTAGGCATCACTTAAAATCTGGCTTATTTGTCCCCTTATCTGCAGAGTTTTGCTTGGTGTGCATTTTAAAAAATATATAATTAAAAAAATAACTTCATTTACAATATAAATAAGTATTACATTAGGACAAGAATATTAAGTTGAAGACAATAAAAGGTTGTGTGCATCTCAAGAAATCTTAATTAGACCACAATTCTAATTTTATCTTTGCTTGCATTTATTGAACTATCGGCTCTGAATCCACTTGAACTGTTAAAGATGTAGATATCTACCCTTAAATTGGCAAGAGGAAGTCAATCCATTCCAGAAACAACAACTGCTGTTCAACATGCGCAGCCGTTGCCAAGGCCAAGAGGGATTTATTGCTGCCAAATCTGCTCAACATATCCAAACAGTTAAAGAGTTCCTTGTGAGACATCGGCTCATTGAGGTCTCAGTTTTTCAGAGAACATGTTCGCTGTCAGATAACGTCTAATATCGTCAACTTCAATTGCAGTGATAATTCCTGCAAAGCATGCATCTGATTTACACGAGTTGTGCAACACTGAAGATGTTTGCAGTCATTTTACAAAAACGAAAGAAGGATTTGCAGTTTAAAAAGTAAAAAAAAAACGCCATTTTTGGATGATTCGTTTTTGTCTTGAGATGACAATATGAAGAATTTAATGTCTTTAATATAACCGGGTTTGAGGCGTAATTTAAGATTATTTGCAGTGCATCAATTTTATATTGCCGAACACACAAAAATATGACAAATGAGTCAACGGGTTCAACCAGTTGTTCTCATTTCCTCCCCAAAATGCCTCATTTTCATGCTTGCTGTCCAACATTAAGACAGAAAATGCACAATAAAAAGCAGCTGCATTATTCTGTATAAACCAATGCCTAACTAAATTCCAGAAATATAATAAAATTATACAAAACAGAGCAAAAGTTACCAGTAAGTGTCCAAGCCTTTGTGCTATATCCCAATAATCCTCTCATTGGGAGCCAGTGATCAATACAGCTCACAGTGCTGGGTTCACAGGAACTGGACTCAGGGAGAAGTGCACGTTTCTCAGCTGAACGAAAGCCTGCCTTTTCTAGACTCTCTCTCTGTCTTCTCCACACCCACCCCCCCACCACCCCCACCTCCCTTCGCACTGGACTTTTACTGGCCCACAGCCCCTCTCAATTACCACGGGTGGAAAGAGAATCAGATAAGGAGAGCGTGAAAAACGAGGCAGCAGAACGTCCATTTCTGTCCAAAAGGAAAAAATAAAAGTAACAAACAGTCAAAAGGTTGAAGGTTTTTAAACTTTTTAGATGCAGGACAAACAAGGGGAGCAGCAGGGTTTGATGTGCTCAGCAAGACAGCAGTCCAGATTATGTTCTCCAAGTCAGCAGTGATAAGGTGTGAAGAGTTACTTCATTTCTATTTCTGTGTGGACAGCTGAAAATCCCTTGAAAGGCAGAGCTGCAGCTGTTATCTGTGGACAGATTTCTCTTCAATCCTTCATGAGTTTGATCCTGTCTGAAGCCAGAGATGGTCTTCTCTGCATCATCTCACAGCAACCTCAATCCAAGCAGGTTACTCTAAAGCAGGGGTGTCAAACTCGTTTTCACCGAGGGCCACATGAGCGTTATGGTGGCCCTCGAAGGGCCACTTGTAATAAACTTTGACGTTTCATGTTTAACTTTGACTAAACAGTGTTTTAACACGTCCTCTTTTAAACACTGATAAGAACTAAGTGTATGACTGACTAAATCTGAAATAAATACAGAAAAATTATTTAGTTTATGGTTGATGCTGACTTTAAGCAGCTTATTTTCAGACATTAATTCTGTGCTATCCAACTAAATTGGTCAGTTACTTAAAGCCAACAGCTCATGGACAGGAATTTATTTAAATTAATTTTTATTTCACTTATTTTTATTAAATTTATTTTTGCTGCATTTGATTATAAATTAAAATTTACCATCGATAAAAGAAACAAATTTCATGCTAAGTAAAAAAAAAATCTTTCTTTTTTGGGGGGGGGGGGMYCCCCCCTGGCGGGGTACARGGGAGTCATGTGGCCCGCGGGCCTTGTGTTTGACACATGTGCTCTAAAGGCTCCAGGAAGCCTGACTGCCTTCTCAACACGGTAGAAATTCAGAAAAATTAACATTTTAGTGTCAGGATGAAAGTGGAGAGTTAGATGACTAAAGGTTTAAGTGCATTAGATCAGTTCTCAACAGATTTTATAGTGCAAATATGTAATTCTTATTTCATTTAAATAGTTTTCGCTCTATAATGAACTGTTAACTACATTTTTGAGAAATATATTATCTTTTTTTTCAGACTTACGTTGTTAAAGTTTATACAATGTAATACACTGACCAGATGGATCGTTAAAAATCACCATTAATTATCCTCTGGTAGAATTTACTTTATATTTATCTGAATAGTGATTTCTTGATGACGACCTCATTGACCTTGAGGCTCAGCACACTCTGGCAGATCACACAGGAAAAGGCCCGTTTAGTTTTCTCATCCGGGGCGTGGCCGGCCCTGTCGAAGAGACCAGACTTTCCAACTTTGAGTCATTTTCTGTCTCTTCAGACAGAGGTGCCCGTGATGGAAGAGCAGGACGAAATGATCTGTATGTTTGCCTCTGCCTTAGATGGTCTCCGTCTTATTATGTGGTAACATCTGGAAATGGAACAGATGTGGTGCCATTAAAATCAGTTGCCACAATTATATTTATGTTAAAGTGTTGTTTTGGGTGGTTTGGGTTTCATCAAACAAAACAAACAAACAAAAAAAGATTCATTGCAATAATCTGTGGGAGCTTACATAAATTCTGCTTTTATGAAGAAATAAACGGAGCTTTAAAATATGCTCTCCTTCCCAGTTTCTTCCCAAACTCCTAAAACAGAACTCCAATTCTCTAATTAACTATTCAGGTCGGGAACCATATTTTGCATTCCTTTTAAAAAAGCACACTCCATTCATGCACAAAAGCAACAGCTTCACATTAAAAAGCCATAACCTTTAATCCACTTCAGTACTGTAATGTATGATCCCCTTCTCCTTTTTGGACAGCTCTGGACCGTCAGAATGTTCTGGTAGATTAATTATCGCAGACTTGAATCATGCATGATGTGGTGTTTTCTGCAAATCCTCCGTCAGATATTTGTTTCTAGTTTTTGTGGTTTTTTACGTGGTGCTTTATCTTTTAAAAGAGGCATTTTGTGTCAGAAAATTGTAACCATAAAGGGGTGAGTTTGGATAATACGTGTGCACGTGATTGCAAAGACATTTCAGCAAACCTTGGACTGCAACAAGAAATTTTGTTGAGCAACTTTAACTTTGCGACTTCGTTTTGACACCAAGTTTGCATTCAGGCAAACATTTATTTTAAAAACAGCCTCCTTAACCTAAAATAAAGCCTCCGAAAATTTAATTTATAGTCCCACATGCTGCCGAAGAACTCTATTTACCATGCAGCCTTCATGGGAATAATAAAGTCTAGAGTAGTAGTCATAGTGACAGCCCCAAAACTTTTCTGTTTCACTTTGACAAAATACAACAACACTGCAGCTAACATTTACAGTGTTTGAAATAAGCTCTGAAACTTTGAAATAAGTGGAAATGACTGGATAGAAGACAGCAGAAAACCTCAAAAAACTTCTGATTTAGTGCCATCACTTTGAGGCTCAACTGTACTGGGACATTTTAATCAGCTCACAGGCATTAGGTCGTGTTTATCATGATCACTTCTCTGGTTTGCCACAAAGATAAATAATGAGCACGCCTCAAGCGAGTCATTGAGCTCAGAGAACCAAATCAGCATAATCGTGGATTACTAATAGTTTCCATGATAGAAACGACCACTTTGAAGGAACGAAACAGAGCGGCATGGCACGTATGATGCAGCAGTCACAAAAAAGGAGTCGAGGATGATGATCCACGCCAAAGACTTCTGAGGAAATACATTTGAAGCGGGAGATTCATGTGTTTCCTATTGAAAGGGTGTTTCTTTGTCACAGTGTTATAAAGGATAAATCATTATTTTTCACAAGACATGTGCATCTTGTTTGACTTGCAGGGTTGCTGAAGTCTACCGCTGTAATGAAGAAAAAATCACAAAGCAGGGAAATGTTCCAATCAGCAGGATTTTTTATGTGAAGAGTCACAGAACCAGTTCTGAAGCTACACCCCTCCAATAACAGCACACCATGTGGGGAATCCTGCTGGTATTATTATTTTTTCTTTTTAACTGTTTCCAGCTCATCTAAATTTAAAATAGCATGATAATAACTTTGATTCTGAAGCAATTTGAAAAGAAAAGCACTTACTGTATTTGTCTAATTACACTCGAGTCTATTATATCACACTAATCAGAACCTCAATAAAATTATGATCATGGAACATATTTATTTCAAGTTTCTGCACCAGGAAACCTATTTTAAGATCACAAGTTGGGCATACTGCTAAATTTTTTTAAAGGGGCAGTATTATGTGTTTCTCAGGCATATATTTAATACTATACCATAATAAAGTATCTATGTCACCTTTAGTTGTTATTAAAATGCTGTTTTTATGTTTAAATACAAAATAAACTTATCTTCTCATCACTTCCTCTTCTAAACACCTTGAAATTGGCCTCTGTCTCTTTAAGAACCACCTTCCGCTTCTGTCCCACCCATTTCGGTGCAGGGCAGGTCTGCACGTGCGCTATGATGCAGTTTACTTGGCATCTGAAAATACAT